GAACAAGTTAAATGGACGGATTTGTAAGTATACAATTTTGAAAGTGCCCCGCGTCGCGGGGGTCCGCGTTCGCGCGCCGCCCCGCGCCACCTCGCGCCACCTCGCGCCGCGCCGCGTTCGACGTCGCGCTCGCGTCCCCGCCCCTCCCCTCGTTTCGCAATTATGTACTGGTGGCATTATAATCGTTTAGAAAAAGGAAAAATGATAAAATAACACTAGTTCACTTCTGAAACTGCTTTTTGATGTCCAAGTAATGGGAATTANTGCATCCCACCCATAGTGGAATTTACCAGGTGCCACTGCTTTATTTGAAAATTTGCCTATAAAATGTGACTATAAGGCAGCCGAATGTCAGAAAATAAAGCGAGAAAGCCGTTTTATTACTTCATCTGTTTATTGTGACATGGCTCCATGCAAACATTTTAAGGTTTTCCAGCAATGTTTTTAACATATTAAAAAGCATGCAGAAAAAATTCATACAAACTACTTACTACTTGCTTTCTTCATATGAATTATATCACATTTTTTGTTTAATTCAAGGCCTATCAAACAGGTTTAGAGCATTTGAGCAAAAACAACATTTGCCTGTATTTTGTTGTTGCTTCTGGTATCGAAGGTGCCAAAAACTGTTCTGCTTTTTTTCTTCTACATCAAAGCGTGCCATGCGAAATACGAAAAAAGTAAAAAATTTAAATTGGAAAAATGAAAATTGTTGCAACTTTCTTTCTTAGTAAATTGGTTCGCTTCTCGAAGCATTGATCCATCCTGTGCCAGGCGCAGTCATCAGCGGTTGTGCTGCTGAGTTGGGCGAGCTTTCCAAAAGCTGCTATTTAATCGCTGGTTTTGTATGGAAAATGTTTCACATGCAAATAGATTCTAACAATTTAGAATTTTTGTGAGAAGAAATGTAAAATATTTGACATTTTCGAGAACAAATAATTTGAAAAAAATCAAATCAGTTGCTATACTGATATTAGCTGTTCAATGTGCCTTGGTTTAATTGTATTTTTGGAATAAACAGAGTTCCTTTTCCTTCTGTCAGTAAACTGTTTTTTTTTTTACAAATAGTATAAATAAGCAATGGGAAATAAGGCAAAATTTGTTTTATTTTCAACCTTTGTTGGAAATAAAGCAAAACTCAGATTTTGGTATTATTTCCCATTTAAAAGTGAAATAAAGCAAATTTTGCGTTATTGCCGTTTGTGAAGTTCAGGTGGCCATCAGGAAGAAGAAAGCCTCCAAAGCCATGGGTCCCGACGGAATATGCATGCTGATGCTGAAAAATTTGGGTCCTGCGGGGGTAGCGTACCTAACGGAGGTCCTCAATTTGTCTATGGCCACTCTCATCATCCCAGACATCTGGAAGGTGGGGAGAGTGGTCCCACTGCTCAAACCGGGGAAACCTGCCAACAAAGGAGATTCGTATCGGCCGATAACACTCCTTTCCCCGGTAGCGAAGCACTCGAGGCCTTGCTGCTCCCGTATTTCACAAACCACCTGACCCCAGCGAAGCATCATCATGGTTTCCGTAAAGTGCACAGCACAACAACAGCACTTAACGCCATAAATACTCAGATACTCGTGGCCTTAACCGAAACCGTCCCTGTGAGAGAACGATTCTAGTAGCGTTGGACTTGTCAAATGCGTTTGACACCGTCTGCCATTCCACGCTACTAGAAGATATTGAGGCTTCCTCTCTCCCACAGAGGCTCAAAACGGTGGTCGGCAAATTATCTGAGTGGTCGACACTCGTCGGTAATGTTTCGAGACAAATCGAGGAAACTCAGAAAAATAAAACAGGGGGTTCCGCAGGGTGGTGTCTTTTCCCCGCTACTGTTTAACTTTCACATTTCAAATCTCCCTCAACCACCAGACGGAGTCTCTTAAAGTGTGTTTGCATTGTTCAACTTTGCGTTCAACATTTGCGTTCAACTCAGCGAAGGGTTGCACGAAAAAAAAGTTGAAATGGCTAAAACTATCAAAATATGAAAAAATATCAAAATATTCGCCATAAAAAGGTGTTTGCATTGTTCAACTTTCAACTAATCGCTTTCAACAAAGTTGGTCGCCAGCCAACATTTAGCCATTCAACTTTTTTTTCGTGCAACCCTGCGTTGAGTTGAACGCAATTGTTGAACGCAAAGTTGAATAACGCAAACACTGCTTAACGCCGACGATTGCTCGATCATGGCGACTGGGAATGGAATTGATGACTTGTGTTTTCGCTTCTTCACTGCAAAGTGTCTAGCCCTCTCCCCTACGAAATCCTCTGCGACCCTGTTCACAACCTGGACGAAGGAGGTCAGGCTACCGCTGGGAACTCACGTCGATGACACACCAATTCCGACGGTGAATAATCCCAAAATACTCGGAGTAACATTCGACAGCCTGCTCTCCTTCTCTGCGCTATTGTCAATAAAGTACAGAGCCGCAACAAGGTCCTCAAGTCGCTAGCCGGCAGTACTTGGGGCAAAGACAAAGAAATGTTGCTGGCAACATACAAGGCAATAGGTCGGCCGGTTTTAAACTACGCAGCACCAGTGTGGTCGCCGGGGACTAGTAGGACGCAGTGGACGAAGCTACAGACTGTACAGAACACCGCACTCATGACAGCGACAGGATGCCTCTTGATGTCGCCAGAACATCCCCTCCACAACGAGGCACAAATGCTCCCTATAAAGGAGCACAACATAATGCTCTGCAAGCAGTTCCTGATTGGGAGCCACAGAAGTGGCCACCCGAACAGACAGCTGCTTGCAGAGGAGCCCTCGCCTAGGCACGTCTGGAGGGATCTATATGAAATGACGGACGAAGTCCAGAGGTTCGTCAAGCAGCGTCTGGACCCGTCAGCTTACCGACTGGCCCTGAACGGCATTCACAGGGAGTCAGTCTCAAGTTATGTAGACTCTAGACCTGTGAATGCCGTTCTAGGCACACCACCACCGGACATAGACGAGACGGAGCGTCATCTGCCTCGCGAGACACGAACAACAATAGCCCAACTTCGCTCTGGCTACTGCAGCAGGTTAAACTCATACCTGAGTAGATTGAATGAGGATGTGCCAAATGAGTGTTCGGCATGCGGAGGGACCCCACATGACTCGAAACATCTCTTCGCATGCCCGGAAAACCCGACAACCCTAACGGCTTTGTCCATGTAGCCGCAACAACAACAACAAGCGTCAATCTACGCCAATCGTCTTATAATTTCTACAGTTTTCAACACTTGCTGGTACGTCTGCGAGGAACAAAATCGAGTCAACACTTGCTGGTACGTCTGCGAAGAACAAAATCGAGTTTGCAACATTTGTGGTACGTTTTTGAGGAACAGGATTGAATTTTACAACTGTCGGGTGTGTCACCATGGTGTAGATCTGGAGTTGCATAGTTTCTGGCACGAAAACCGGCACAGTTATAGCTTATTAACACGTCTGCCCGGCATAAGGGGTGCATGTCACGAGAGTCGGATAGTTATTTTCTACGGAGCCGAGTGGTGGAAAGGGTTGCCAGCGTAATCGAGTCATCGTTTGAAAGTACGATAATGGAGGATTCAGTACGGTCAGCCACAGCGGGTGAAGACCACGTGAACGCTATTATCGCGACTTTAAATGCCTTGCGGGCATCAGTTGAAGAGTTGCGGAACAGTACGCTGGAAAGCCTGAGGGATATCGTGAGACTACGAGAAGAAATGCAACCACAAAGTGAAGAAAATGTAACTGTACATCCAGCACCAAGCGAGGTAAGACACAGTTGTGCCAGCCACACATTTGGCGGTAAAATTATACGACTTGCCAACTTTTAGCGGTAATGCCGAAGAGTGGCATCTGTTCGTAGCCAACTTTAATGAAACTACGCAGGCATTTAGCTACAATAATCGACAAAATTTAATGCGTTTACAAAAGTGCTTGGTGGGGCCAGCAAAAGTAGCAGTGGTATCAATGTTAATTTACCCTGACGACGTGCCAAATGTGTTGAACGAGTTGGAGTTTAGGTTCGGTAGGCCCGACATTTTAGTAAAATGGCAGCTTAGTAAATTACAACAACTCCCGACTATAGCCGAGCACAAGCCTGAGCAGATAGTGACATTTTCTACCAAGGTGCGTAACGTGGTAGCGTTTTTGAAATCTGCGAAGTGTGACCAGCACTTATCGAATAGGTACCCCACAATAAAAGATTTTTCTGCATGGCTTAGTGACTTAGCCAGAGTTGTTTGTTTGATGCCGGCTGCCAACACAAATATTTACAAGCATAATGTGTCGTCAGCTAATCCCCGACGTTTGATGCACATACAAGATGAAAGCCCAGCAGAGCCCATGAAGTGTTTCCATTGTGGCGGCAACCATTCAATCGCAAGGTGTGAAGTCTTTAAAACGGTAGGTGTAGCAGAAAGATGGGAAGTGGTAAAAATGTGTCAACTGTGTTTTGATTGTCTTCGCAAAGGACATAGTTCGTCGAAATGCCTGTCTAAGAAGCCTTGTAATATAAATGGCTGTGCAAGGTACCACAACCAATTGTTACACAGTGATGAACAACAATCCGTACCGCAACAAGCAACCCAACGACAGATTAGCACGCAGCCGCTGCTGAATTGCCGTCTTGTACAGCAGACGTCTAAGCAGCTATTTAAAACTCTTCCGGTTAACCTTTATGGGCCGAATGGTAAATACAAAGTTTTGACAATGTTCGATGAAGGGTCAGCGATCACAGTAATAGAAGATGAGACTGCTAAGAGCATTGGGCTTAAGGGTCACCGTCAACCCCTTACACTCCAGTGGTACAACTACAGGGTCGTGACCGATTCATTCAAGGTAACCTTTGAAATTGGTAGCTGTTGCGATAATACTAGATTTTCATTGAAAAACGTACATACGGTAAAAAATCTGAATTTACCTAAGCAGTCTTTTGCCAAAGAAGATTTCTACCATTTAAGGGACCTGCCATTGCAAGACTACAGCATGGCGAAACCAGTTTTGTTGATCGGTTTAAATGAAGCACATTTAGGTATCAGCTCGAGTACCGTTCTGGCCGACCATGAAAGTCCGGTGGTTATCAAAACGTCATTGGGTTGGGTGGCGTATGGCCCGACCAAGTTTGTGTCAACGACTATGCGAACGCACAACGTTATTTATGGCGGAACCGGGGACTCCAACGAACCTATATAAGAATTTTTGATGACAACTATGATTTTCGGTGCAGTTTGCTCACCGTGTACCGCCGAGCGCGTGAAGAATAAAAACGCCGAAAGATTTGAAACAGAATTCCCGAAAGCGGCACCTGCCATAATAAATAATCACTACGTGGATGACCTGGTTGCCAGTTTGACGATACACACGAAGCCATTACAGTCTGCCAACAGATTGTAAACATCAATTTGGAAGCAGGTTTCGAATTACGAGATTTCATATCCAACTGCAGTAACGTAGAGAGAGCGTTGAACAAAACACCACCAACAACGCGTGAAACAATTAACATGGCACGCAGTGAAACCGCCAAAAAGGTCCTCGGCATGTACAGGAACACCAAAAAAGACGCATTCGAGTTCCATACGAAGTTTCATCGTTTCGTACCGCAATCAGTGCTTTCTAGTGAGCGAGCTCCGACGAAGCGGGAGTTACTCAGCATCGTAATGGCAGTTTTCGACCCATTTGGGCTATTGGCGAATTTATTAATCTCATCGAAAATTTTGGTGCAAAAAACCTGGAGGCAAGGCATCAACTGGGACGAAGCTCTTTCTGCAGATCTGACAGCGAAATGGATACCCTCGTGGAAAGAGTTTCAGCGCACCAGAAATTTTCAGATTCCACGGTACTACTCGGCCAATATCTCATGTAGCAGCAACATAGAATTGCACATTTTTGTCGACGCTAGCCAAGTAGCATTTGCAGCAGTTGGTTACTTCCGCGTGGTGCACAACGGCGTAGTGGACGTGACTTTCGTAATGGCTAAAACTCGCACCGCCCCTAATCGCTTAATGTCTATTCCTAGACTTGAGTTGCAAGCAGCAGTATTGGGCACCAGATTAAGTAAGATGATTGGTAGCTACCACGACTTCAATATCAGCCGCATTCTCTTTTGTAGCTACTCGCAGACTGTATTGCAATGGATTTATTCCTCCGAGAGAAAATACAAGGCCTTCGTAGGTCATCGCTTTGCTGAAATCATAAGCGTAACTGTTCCTGAGCAGTGGCGTTGGGTTACAACTAATAGCAACCCAGAAGACGCAGCTACACGACCGTCAACTCCACCTAGGTTCAATACAGATGACCGCTGGATCAACGGCCCTGAATTCCGTAAGTACAGCGAGCTACATTGGCCAGCCACTATTGTCGAGCGTCCCGCAGTAATGCTTGAAGAAGTTCAACCCAGCCGTCTCCTTTATTGTCAGGCAAGTAAAAATTTCATTGATTTTACTAAATTTCGTTCATACTTGAAGATAAAACGGATAGTCGCATGGGTGTTACGAGCCAAATTGTTGTTTAATAGAAAGTCAGTCAATATGCGTCTGTCGAATGTACTTACCGCTGCGGAAATTGAAGAAGATCTGTAAAACGGTGCAACAAGAGTGTTTCGCAAGCGAGATTTCAGACCTCTCTTCGTCGCGTCAGCATTCAGACAGAGTGCGGTGTACAGTCTTACACCCTATCTCGACGAAAAGGGCCTTCTGAGGTTAAATGGTCGCATCGATATGGCAATGTATTTACTTTTCGAGACGCGTCATCCTATTTTATTCCCGGCGAAGCACATCGTCGCAGAACTAATCGTAAAGCACCATCACGAGAAAGGTCATCATCAGAACCTCGCAGTTATAATCAATACAGTACGACAAAAATTCTGGATTCCCCATAGTAAAACGCTCTACAAGAGAGTGCAGCGAAACTGTCTTGAATGCAGATTGACCAAAGCAAAGCCAGTCGCGCCTATGATGGGGCAGCTGCCAGCTGACCGCGTTACACCCTATGTACGACCATTTTCTTACACAGGCGTAGACCTGTTTGGGCCTTTAAATGTCGCAATCGGGCATAGACGAGAGAAGAGGTGGGGTGTTATCTTCACTTGTTTACCTGTAAGCGCAGCGCATATCCCAGTAAGGATTAGAAGCGACAGNGACGTGGGACCCCAGTAAGGATTAGAAGCGACAGTGGGACTAATTTCATCGGCGCCCTAAAGGAGTTAAAAAACGCCGAGCAACTATTTGATACAGACCGCATTCAAGAAGAAGCCGCAAAGTATAATATTGAATGGCTATTCAACTGCCCCGCCAATCCCAGTGCAGGCGGTTGCTGGGAGCGTCTTATACGAATTGTTAAATCTCTACTTAACCGATCTCTAGGTGAAACAGCGCCTAAAGTAGCAACCTTACAAAGTGTGTTGATAGCAGTGATGCCAGACATTCTCTGTTAAATATCCCACGGAAATGGGGAAAAAATCCCTCAATTACCCACATCTTGAAAATTTATCCCACAAAATTCCCAACGAATTTAAACATATACATGTTTCAGTAGTAAAGAAGTAAAATTCATATAAAATAATAATAATAGTTTGGCGCTTACACATATGTGCTTTTCCTCCAATTTGTGGTGGTCCCCTTGATGTTGTCACACAAAGGGGAGGGACCTACAGTTTTACGCCGACTCCGAATGGCGAGTGTATTTTTATGAGAAGCTGTTTTTCATGGCAGGAATACACTCGGAGGTTTGCCATTGCCTGCCGAGGGCCGACCGCTGTTAAGAAAAAACCCCTTTTTCTGCATTTTTTTCACTCATTCATTTTTTCACTTTCATTTTTTTGCTCACTCACTAAGGGCCTAAAAGAATTTTTTGGTGACTTTAAAATTGAAGCACATTCATGTGCTATTTAACATTTCATCAGATAATTTGTTCCGCTTTTTACATGAAACACCAGTTACAACTGAAAAGATTCTTTCCTACTCAGCGCTTGAATTGGTTAACGTAAGAAAATTTTCGAAATTGTCCTTATACTTTTTAACAATTATATACCATTTCACTCCACATCACATCTTCAGAACGATAAATTACGTAAGAATGTCGAATATTCTTGAATTTTGATCAATTATGCAACAATAACTGCGTCAAAAGAAAATCCCTTATTTATATGAAATGTCCCTTTTTCCCTTTTAATAATTTTTGATGCAAAATATCCCTCAAATAGGGAAATTACCCACAATCTGGCATCACTGGTTGATAGAGGCTGAAAATATTATTAACTCGCGGCCGCTAACAGACTCACCGGTATCTCACGAAGAAGGCGAGCCAATCACGCCGAACCATTTCTTGCTGGGATGTGTGAATTCAACACAAACTCCACACCCAGTCGACGAAAAGCTTTGCCTGCGAAAGCAATGGAGGATAGCGCAGAACCTCAAAGACCGCTTGTGGAAACGGTGGACGACAGAGTACCTGCCCCAACTTATATGCCGTACTAAGTGGAAGGAGAAAGCTATTCCCCTTCGAGTAAACGACCTAGTCTTGGTTTTCGAACCCACTCTACCACGCAGTCAATGGCGGAGAGGTCGTATCACCGAGGTATTCCCGACGAAAGACGGTCAAGTGCGCATGGCAGAAGTTAAGACTAGCGGAGTACTGCGTCGTCCAGCCACACGTCTAGACCGACTCATCTTCATTCCCACGACAGCCGGTCCTACGTACCGGAATGACTCGGGTTTTACCCGACCAAGGGCTGTTGTTTCGGCGATCTAACCCCGTTTAGGTCGGCGAAGTGTCTCAGAAGTTGTTCGTCCATAGGGCTACATTCGCTACGTTTTCTTCTACTCAGGGCTGGCATCGAGTCAAACCCAGGGCCAGAAACCTACACCTGCTGTGTATGCCAGAGACGACTACACCACAAATCCACCTCAGTCAAGTGCAATTCTTGCGAAGGGTGGAGTCACCTCAGAGTCTGCTCAGGACTACGGACACATCGGCAGTGGACCACATCGTATTTGGCCCCCCTGCTGCTCCAACAGAGCAGCCTTCACGGCTAACCCCAGTCCACCTGAGCAGTCCCACACAAACACCACAGCACAACAACATAACAACACAATAGACCACACCACAACCGCGACAGACCACAGAACACACACAATTGCACCACCACACACACGCTAACAGCTCTTGGTTCCCCCTACAATCTGCACAGTATGGTAGACCAGGATATTCCGTANTCATGGTGACAGTTGGTAAAAAAAAACCGGTTTGACTTAGAGAGGTGATAGTAAAAGTCATAAGTACCAAATTTTACATTATTTACTCACCCCCCTTCTGCACGAACGATACATTTCCAAAAAAATACGAGAATGGGCACGATACCGACTAATCAGTTTAGTTGCATTTGGCGCTGAACCCATTACAGAAAGTGTTTCTTTATCAACTGTAATAAATTATCTAAATGTCGTGGAATATTCAGGTGAAGGTATTTATCATTTATTTGGTATTTTCCTATTTTCTTACCAAAAAATTTACTTTGAAATGTAGATGCTAAAGATTATTAGTAAAAAAAGTGTGAGTACCGGTCCGTCAGGTCTTGAAATTAGACTAATATTTTAGAGAATTTTAAGTAGTTTTCGAATATATAATTTGATCTTTGCGCGCGACTTTGCAAATATATGTAATTTTTGATTTTCTTAATTTTTGATTTTCAGCTTCTTTTTGCATAATTTAGCGAAAAGAATTTTTCGAACATTGCTATCCGGTCAGGCGATGTTGAGCTCGAAATATTCAACGTTTACATACCCCCTGTCACCTGCTGCCCGGCAGGATATCACCCTGATATAGGTGCGCTCCTCAGAGGTGAAAACCGAATGGTAGTAGGTGACTGTAATGCGCACCACGATCTTTGGCACTCAATCCTGTCAAACGTTCATAGGGGAACCGATTTGGCTGAGCAGATAGACGATTCGACATTCTGCACAATGAACGACGACGCACCCACCAGGATTATGGGCAGCTGCTGCAGCTCGCCAGACATAACAATAGTCAGCGCTGGTCTGATAAACAGCATATCATGGCGACCTATGCTGCCTCTAGCATCAGATCATCTGCCCATAGTCATCTCGATCGATAAACCAACCGACTTTGCTTCCGCGAAGCACCGAACATATATCAACTTCCCCAAAGCTGATTCGAAAGGCTTCGCGGAATTTACTGAAACACCTTCGCTGCTCTCCCCACACCAACCGACGTCCACCTTGGTGAACGTAAGTTCCGCAGGGCTGTCACTGCTGCTGCAGCCCGCTTCGTACCGGCAGGATGCATCACTGACCCACGTCCAAATTTCCCTGCCGAAGCGGCTGTCCTAGCCGATGAGTGTGACAGCCTTCATCAGGCCGATCCCGGTGATCCCCGTATCAGGAATCTCAACGCGGAGATTCGGCAACTAGTGAACATACATAAGCGGAAGAAGTGGGAAGAACATCTGAAGACTTGCAACTTCACCTCTGATGTGAGTAAGCTTTGGTCAACCGTGAGGTTACTATCCAATCCGACGAAGCACGACTACAGAGTCGAAATTTCTTTCGGCGACCATGCCTCGTCGAACCCGGAGCGATGCGCGAGCTACTTTAGCCGGCAGTTCATACTGCATCCTCCGGTGGATAAAACCAAGCGTCGAGCTACCAGAAGGCTGCACAAACTGCCAACAAATTGTGCCCCCTTGCTTTCACTTGCGGTGAAGTTCAGGTGGCCATCGGGAAGGCGAAAGCCTCCAAAGCCATGGGTCCCGACGGAATATGCATGCTGATGCTGAAAAATTTGGGTCCTGCGGGGGTAGCGTACCTAACGGAGGTCCTCAACTTGTCAATGGCCACTCTCATCATCCCAGACATCTGGAAGGTGGGGAGAGTGGTCCCACTGCTCAAACTGGCGATACCTGCCAACAAAGGAGATTCGTATCAACCGATAACGCTCCTTTCCCCGGTAGTGAAGATACTTGAGGCCCTGCTGATCCCGTATTTCACAAACCACCTGACCCCAGCGAAGCATCAGCATGGTTTCCGTAAAGTGCACAGTACAACAACAGCACTTAACGCCATAAACACTCAGATAACTCGTGGCCTTAACCGTAACCGTCCCTGTGAGAGAACGATTCTAGTAGCGTTGGACCTGTCGAAGGATTTTGACACTGTCAGCCATTCCACGGTACTAGAAGATATAGAGGCTTCGTCTCTCCCCCAGAGGCTCAAACGGTGGACGGCAAATTATCTGAGTGGTCGACACTCGTCGGTAATGTTTAGATCTAAAGTCATTTACCAAAAATTCAAAATGGCGGATCCAATATGGCGGACGAAAATTTAAAAAAAAGGTTGATTTCTATGTAACTGGGTATCGGGGGGTTTTCTGGGTTGCTGATTACGAATCTAAAGTCATTTACTTAATTTACTTTATTTACTTCGGAACAGCATTTTCATCAGATATTTCTTTCAATTTACTAATCACATAATCACGGACACCTTGTTGTCTTTTAGAAGTTTCAGCAACACTTCCCCAAATGTCAAACAACTCACTTCTTAAGATTTTATTTACCATGACTAAAATTTAAGATCACAGCAAGAAAGACAAATAAATTTCAGAAAAAATTTTATAACAGCGCTTAAAGATTTGCATGCCTGTTGTATAATTTTTTAATTTCAGAAAGGAGAAAATTCGCGAGTTACTATTTTTTTTTTTAACTTTTACATAACTAAATAACCCCCCACCCCCTTGCGTTATGACCTCTGAATCTATAGCGAAATAAGTGTAATTTTTTGTTTATAAAGTCAATTTGCAGTTATACAAATATCTGTGAGTGCAATTAGCAATCATTTAAGTTAAATTTCAGCTTTTAAAATAGAGTTCTCAAATAGGCGGCGTTGACTTG